TGATGCACATTTTCTTTACATAAAACTTTCTCTTATACATGAGTTGCTGTGGATTTGTTTCTCCAAAGTACCCAGACGAATACAGATGACTACTGGTTAAAAGCATTTCTTCAAATGGTTGTCTTCTTTGGTGAACTCTCTATTCATGACCTCTGTCCATTTAAAAATCAGATTATTTATCTCCTTCTTGTTGAGATTTTGAAGTTTTCTATAAACTTTAGGGTCTAGTCCCTTATCCTATGCACAATTGCCTTGACCCGCTAAATCTGTGGGTTCTCTTTTTACTTTTCTGTTAAAGTATTTTGGTGCATATAAGTGTATTATTTTATGAGTTTCCACTCATCTATATTTCTTCTTTATTTAGTTCTTTTTTATTATATTTAGTAAAAAAAAATTTTTAATCATTTTATTGGGGACTCCTACAGCTCTTATCACAATGCAGACATTCATCCATTGTGTCAAGCACATTTATACATTTGTTGACATCATCATTTTCAAAAAATGTTCTTTCTATTTGAGCCCTTGGTATCAGTTCCTCATTTTCCCCTCCCTCCCTCATGAACCCTTGATAATTTATAAATTATTATTTTTTCATGTCTGACACTGACCAATGTCTCTCTTCACCCACTTTTCTGTTGTCTGTCCCCCAGGGAGGAGGTTATATGTAGATCATTGTGATCAGTTCCCCCTTTCTCCCCCCACCTTTCCCTTCCCCTCCTGGTACCACTACTCTCATTATTGGTCCAGGGGGGTTTATCTGTCCTGGATTCCCTGTGTTTCCAGCTCTCATCTGTACCCGTGTACATGCTCTGGTCTAGCTGAATTTGTAAGGTAGAATTGGGGTCATGAGAGATGGGTGGGGATGAAGCATTAAAGAACTAGAGGAAGTTATATGTTTCCTCAGTGCTACACTGCACCCTGACTGTCTCATCTCTTCCTTGTGACCCTTCTGTAAGGGGATGTACAATTGTCTACAGATGGCCTTTTGGGGTCTCCACTCCACACTCCCCCTCATTCACATCGATATAACTTTTTGTTCAAAGGATGCCTGATACCTGATCCCATTGACACCTCATGATCACACAGGCTGGTGTCCTTCTCCTATGTAGATTTTGTTGCTTCTCAGTTTGATGGTCACTTGTTTATCTTCAAGCCTTTAAGACCCCAGAAGCTACATCTTTTGATAGCCTGGCACCATCAGTTTTCTTCGCTACATTTTGCTTATGCACCCGTTTTTTCTTCAGCGATCATGTCGGGAAGCTGAGCAGCATTGAATGCCAGGTTTTTAAAACAAAGTGTTCTTGCGTTGAGGGAGTACTTGGGTAGAGGCCCAATGTCTGTCTCTCCCTCTCCTCCCTAATCCCCCCACTTGTTCCAGCTCTTTGACATAATCCGTGTGAAGGTGAAAGTGCAGTTCAGTAATAAACTGTGTTGAATCAGTAAAAACAAAACAAAACAAAACGATGCCAGATAAGGTGTGTCAGCGACTAGTGGGAAAAAAGGTCATCACCAGGAAGTGCGCCGACCAGTCCAGGCTGAGGTGGGGGCTGTGGACAGAAAACAGCCAAGGAGCAGGCCTTGCTTACAGGGCCTTCCCTCCACCCTCCAGCCCCTCTTGAGACAAACAAAGCCCACTCCCAGCAGTTTTCAACTGGGTGGGCTTCCTGCCCCTACAGGACCAGCAGGGAAATACAGAGTCACCACTCCTCAGTCAGATGTGACACTGCAAGGACATATGTTCTTCAGCCAGGAGGTCTTGGTGGGCCCAGGCTGAGGTGAGGATTTGCAAAATTCCAATCAAAAGGACACCGGACCTGGGGGAGGCTGCAGGTAAACTAGCCCTGAGAGCAGCTCAGGTCCTAATCCTTCTTAGGAAGGGGGTGGAAAACGGGAGATTCCCCAGGGATCAGGAATGCACCCTCCCTCAGAAGTCTGGGGACTTCAAGTTCAGTGACCATGCCCAGAAATGGACGCTCCCAGAAGGGAAAGGGTCAAGGGCTTCATTTAAATAAGGACATAGGAGAGACACCGTATTAGGCAGGATCACCACCCACGACAGAAAAGATAACTAATTGTAATCAGTCTTAGCTCTGGTGCAGAGTGTAAATGCAGAAATACAGACATAGAGTTTACTGCTTGTTACTCAGCAAGGACTATAGAGACTTGCCCCGCAGCCGCTTGCCACCAGGCGCCCGGGGCTATACTGTGGCCTGGGAGTCTTCCCCCGGATTCCGGCTGGTCCCGCTCTTCCGGAGGCCTTTCCAGGTGTAGCCCATGAAGGTGGGGTTGATGGGCAAGTAGCTGAAGCATCGGTACTTTTTGATAATGTTCATGCTGAAAAGCAAATCGTACGACTCCATGCCATCGAGCGTCTTGCTTCCTTTGCGTATGCCCTTCTTCCACTTCCGGATTCCTCGTTCCTCTGGAGTACTTGGAATGGTGTAATCCAAAATGAAAGCCACGCAGCCTCCCACGAACATCGCTGTGGTGAGCAGAATGTTCAGCACCTGGTCAATCCCCGTTATCCCTGTGACGAGAGGGTTCTGGCTGAGGTAACTTGGAAGGACGAGTTCAAAGAAGATGGAGAATCCGAGCACAAAGAGGTTCCGGGAAGAATTTAAATCGATGAATTGCAAGTTGGAGAGTCCAACCGCTGTGATCATCCCGAAGAGCGTGCAGAAGAGGGCGCCCAGCACAGGGTCAGGAAGGGACGCGAAGAGGGCGCTGAACTTTCCCACCATGCCCAGGGCCAGCATCAGGGCCGCTCCGTACTGTATCACCAGGCGACTGCCTACCTTGGTGATCCCCAGCACTCCGATGTTGGGGCTGGATGACGTGGACCCATTTCCAGTGCCAAAGACGCCGTGGAGCACGCAAGAGACTCCCTCCACTAAAATGCCCCTGTTGATGGCGTGGATGGGCGGCGGCGGGGCGCAGGACAGGCGCGCACAGGCGTAGTAGTCGCCGATGGACTCGATGATGCTGGCCACCACTGCACTGAGCATGCCGATGACACCTGTGGCGGAGACGGTGGGCAGGCCCCACTGGAATGGGTATGGGACCTTGAACCACGGGGCCACCAGAAGCACGCTTTGCCTGGCATCTGTGCGTGCGTAGAAGCTGTACTTGGTGCTGTCAGGAGGGAAGACATCTGTCACCGTGAAGATGAAGCAGAGCAGCCAGGCCACAAGGATGGCCAGGACTATGGGGAACATTTTGAAAAGCTGTTACGTTATACTTAACATAAAAATATATGTACATAGTTTTATTTTCCTATCATTATATATATACATCTATTTACATATGTACATGCCTGTATTTAGGCCTTTATAAATGCCAATTTGCCTCCTAGTTGTTTCCTCTATTTCCTTTTACTTTGCTTTTGTCACACTATCATGTTCAGCCTTCATTTGAGTTTCAGTAATTCTCAGAATTTTGCCTTTGATCAAGCTCTACCAGGCATCCTACACCTTCCTCGCCATCAATTTTAGATCACTTGTTCCCTTGTCCCAGGGTTTGTTAACACCCACTTACTTTCCCCCGTGTACCCCTTTCCCATGTCCCCCCAGAACACTCAGTCCCATTTTCTCCTCCAGATTGTTTATTTTGCCTATCACATCTAGATAGATATATAGAGACAATAATAAGCACAAAAACAAGACAGCAAAACCAAACAACAAAAGAAAAAAACAAAACAACAACAAAAAAGCCTATAAATAGTTTCAGGTCTGTTTGTTGACCTTTAGAAGCATTTTTCAGTCCAGTCTGATGGGGTGCCAAAGTCTCATTTTGGTATTCCCCAAGGACTTCAAGATTTTGAGGAAGATGGCACCTGAATATCATATGATTGCTCAAGGACTAGAGGAATTTGATTTAGAAGTGGCAACACCTGAGGCAGCCAACTGTTCAGATTGTGCTGCTTCCCTGGTTTTCTACTGTTAATCTTTTCCAAGGCCAGTTTCTTGTCTGTTTCCATTGTTTTTCTGTTTTCTGATTAATTTGTAATCTTTATTATTTCCTTTATTCTGGTGGCTGAAGGTTTATTTTTCCACTCTTCCTCTAACTGTTGAAAATGGGATTGGGGCTGGTGGCCAACATGTGGCCTGCCAACCCTTAGGAGATGCTGGTGACCTACCATGTTCCCTGCCATAGATATACTCAGCTCAGTTCTGTCTCCACGGGCCTTTGGCCTTCCCACCTCCTGTTTCATTTTCCTGATTCATCAGTCCAAAGCTGCATAACTTAGGGATGGTCTCCAAGTAGTATTGACCCACAGATTAGAGCTGGACTGGACTTGTGTGGGCTGCTTTCTTGATAAACATTTATTTCTTATACATATGAGAGTCCTAGTTGTGTTTCTCTAGAAAACCCAAACTAACACAGTATGTGTGTGTGAACATCATAAACTATGATACTTACAAGGTGAGTTACTATGAATAATGATAGAAGTAAAATTGATAGTTTATTCCTAAATACAACATTCTAATTTTTCAGACTTGATAATGCATTCATGGATACATTGGATTGGAACTGACTCAATAGCATCTAACAGCAACAACATAAAAAAGTAACTGAATTAGTACACATAAGAACAAAATAAATCTAAACTATTTAAGCCCACTTAGAATATATACCAGCTACTTGAATATTTAATAGCCTGAATCTTTGTGAAGTCAGATGCTTATTTTGTTATTGGCTTTGGGCCTTGAAATAAGAATGAATAAGTAATTGTTGGACTAACATAGCTTCTTCTGGGCTTCACTGTTGTTCTAGAGTGGGTTCTCTAGAGAAGCAAAACTAGTGACCCTTGTATGTATTTCTATATAGAAAGAGATTCATATCAAGAAATGAACTCTGATCTACAGTAAATAAGTCCAGTCTGATTCTAGTCAGGCTTCTCCTGAAACATGTATCTGTGGAGGCTGAGAAACAAGAAGCAAGATGGTGGAGTGAAAGGGCAGAGGATGTATAGACTAGAGAACGGCTCATTAACAAGAAGTAAATGTACTTGAAATGAGCTAAATGAATCCACCATTAGTAGTCCATTGATAGCTCCTGGAATCAACAGACAATGTAAAAGAACATTTAGGAGCAAGATGTAGGATTATACTCTAGTAGAAGGTGAAGGACCAAAGGGTGTTTAGTCCTGCTTAAGATCTCTCTTATCAGCTTTCTTCACATTTGCTATGCACCCATTTTGTCTTCGGCGATTGTGTCAGGAAGGTGAGCATCACGGAATGCTGGGATACTAGAACAAATGGTGCCCAGCTATCCAAAGATGTAGCATCTGGGGTCTTAAAGGCTTGAAGATAAACAAGCAGCCATCTAGCTGGAAAGCAACAAAGTCCACATGAAAGAAGCACACCAGCCTGTGTGATCATGAAATGTCAATGGGATCAGGTATCAGGCATCAGAGACCCAGAACAAAAAATTATATCGATGTGAATGAGGGGGAGTGTGGAGTGGAGACCCCAAAAGACCATCTGTAGAAAATTGTACATCCCCTTACAGAAGGGTCACAAGGAAGAGATGAGACAGTCAAGGTGCAATGTAGCACTGAGGAAACATACAACTTCCTCTAGTTCTTTAATGCTTCCTCCATACCGCACTCTCATGACCCTAATTCTACCTTACAAATCCGGCTAGACCAGAGCATGTACACAGGTACAGATGAGAGCTGGGAACACAGGGAATCCAGGACAGTTAAACCCCTCAGGACCAATAAGTACAGTAGAGATACCAGGAGGGTAAGCGGAAAGTGTGGGGAGAAATGGGGAACAGATCATAATGCTCTAGATATAACCTCCTCCATGGGGGATGGACAACAGAAAATTGGGTGAAGGGAGACATTGGTCAGTGTAAGACATGAAAAAACAATAATTTATAAATTATCAAGGGTTTATGAGGAGAAAGGTGGGGGAGAGAAGGAAAAGTATGAGGAGCTGATACCAAGGGCTCAAGTAGAAAGAAAATGTTTTGAAAATGATGATAACAAATGTATAAATGTGCTTGGCACAATGGATATATGTCTGGATTGTGATAAGAGCTGTAGGAACCCCCAATGAAATGATTAAAAAAAGATATCTTTTATACAAAGATGACTCCCTCAGGATGTTTATCAGGCTCCACTCCTACCTTCACACACAAGTATATAGTTGACCTAGACTCTAACCAGCACTCGTCAACTTGACACTGGGACACAATTCTTAAAGCATAAATAATTACCAAATATAGAATATAATAAATTCATACTTGTGCCTAACTCATACAGCTAATCTGTGTAGCAACTGAAAGAAAGCACACTAAATCCATTTTCATCTTATATTTCATAAGTTTACAAAACAAATATATTTGGTACATCCATGCAAATATGAATTACAACAATTGCAGTCCTAATTTCTGCAGCTGGTCAATAGCCATTGCTAGTATTTAGAACTACCTTCCTCCACTACCTCTTTTCTATTTACCTTGCCTTCAGTTAATACCTAAGATGATCACGGTTCTTTGCCTGGTGAGGTGACCTAAACACTCATTCCTGATGCTGTTGTTGTGAGCTGCTATCAAATCAGCTCCAACCCACAGCATCCGTCTGTTCCAGAATGAAACACTGCTTCATCCCACACCATCCTCACATTCCTGAAGCAGTTATGCCCAACTTGGGATGCTGTACTTTACTGTTGACTTTAATCATAGGGCATAGTAGTACTAAGAGACAATTTAAGAATGCCCTGCCCCCACCCAATAAGAGCAAGGCTGGGTGACCAGGAACCTGCCCTGGAGGCCAAGGGGCAGATACACACACACACCTCACAGATCTGTGGTGGGAGCCCCCTTTTCCTGTAGCTGCCTTCAGGCCCATGTAGCCCCCTCAGTACATGTAGACACTCCAGTTCCTACCTGTATTATGGCACCTGGTCCCTCGCTAGATGGGAAGGGGCCTTGCAGGGACACCCCCTCCCCCCCAAAAAATAAACAAGGAAATATGTATTTCAGCCAGGACAGTTTTCTTCTCCCCCTTTTCTAACACCCTGAGCTCAGATGGGGGCTCAGGTAGGCCTGAAACCCGTCCATTGTGCCCCTAGGGGAGGGGGGCTCCCTGCCGGGACAGAGACCCAGCAGGCAGGCTGGGGGTGGATGGACCCTGGCGGGCCTCCTGAGCATAACAGGAAGCTCCTTGTCAGCTGCCCCCTTTATATGAGTTCTCGGAGTCACGTTTGCATAGGAAATAAAAGTGCGCTTTTTAAGAAAAAAAAAGAATGCCCTGAATTCCAGGCATATTCTTCATTTCCATTTACAACACTATTTCAATTTCCCCTTGGTAAATAGGATCAAGCACACCATTCAAAACAGTAATACTCTTCTTCATTGGTCCAGAGGCATAAGAAGTCCAAAATGGCCAAGAGGCATTATTAGCTTCCAGTTTTATGGAATCAGTCCTGTGTCTCCAAATGAATGTACTCTCCTCTTTGGAACTAAGACCTCTGGACCCAAATAGCAGGGGGTTCCAGGGTCAGGAAGCAAAAGTATTAGGAATGGGTCATTAGGAGTATTGGTGAGTAACGCGCATTTCCACCTCTTGATTTCTAGACCTATGAATCCTGGCTATTGGAGAAACAGCATGATATATTGGATGCTGGTTTAGAATATACACCGCCTCCTGGAGAATATTGCCCTAACTTTGCAAAGTGCAGCCAAAAATAGATCAAACATATAATAAAAATGTAGTGATACTTATTGGTGATTAGGACACAAAAGCTGGAAATAACTTAAAGGGACATTAGTTGGAAAATATTGTCTTGGTGGTAGAAATGAAGTTGGAGATCCCATGATAGAATTTTGTAAGATGAATGATTTGTTCATAGAAAATAAACTTCCCTTTTCAACACCTCAGAAGGCTACTATATACATGGATTTCTTCAGATGGAAAACACAGATGTAAAATTGACTATGTCTATCAGAGAGATTATATCTAAATTGAGGCCAGGGGCTCACTGTGGATCAGACCAACAATTACTGATAGTTAACTTCAGATTTAAGGTGAAGATAATTAAAACAAACCCCATAGAGTCAAAATATGACTTTGACTATATCCCACCTGAATTTTTAGAACATCTCAAGAACAAATTGCTGCATTGAACACTCATGGCAGAACACCTGATGACCTGTGGGAGGACAACATGAACATTATTTATTTAGAAAAGCAAAGGCCATTAAAAAGACAGGA